TAGTTTACATGGTTGGTTTTTTTCGGCTAAAAACGCCTTACTATACATCGTCTTTTTTTTCGGCTAAAAACGCCTTACTATACATGGTTGTTTTTTTCAGCTAAAAACGCCTTACGATACATGGTGTTTTTTTCGGCTAAAAACGCCTTAATATACGTGGTCATTTTTTTGGGCTAAAAATGCCTTACGATACATGGTCGTTTTTTTTCAGCTAAAAACGCCATACTATACATGGTCGTTTTTTTCGGCGAAAAACGCCTTAGTATACATGGTCGTTTTTTTCGGCTAAAAACGCCTCACTCTACATGGTCGTTTTTTGGGGCTAAAAATTTCGGCTAAAAAACGCCTTACTATACATGGTCGTTTTTTTCGGCTAAAAACGCCTTACTTTACATGGTCGTATTTTTCGGCAAAAAATGCCTTCCAATACATGGTCAATTTTTTGGGGGGAAAAACTCATTGTCATTAATTTTGTTTTATTTCGGCATCATCATTATCCGTCAAGCGGTATCCGGCATCCTATTCCAGTTATGACCCATAGATCATGACATGTCAACCATGTTTTGCCACCGTTGAAATTTGTGAAATATGTTTTACGAGAGTTAAAGGGAGAGGGGAAACTGGTGTTTAATGAAGCTGACTGTGTTCAATATTAGCATAGAAGATGTTCAACCCTTGCGGCGTTAGACCAAGTCAATATGAAATATTTGCCGAATTTTTAATCGCACGCGAGAACAAAAGGGGCAGAACAAAGGTGAGAATGAGGGAGTTTAATTCAGTAACATGTTGGTAAAAGAGACGTGAACATGTTGAACGGGTGAGTCGTACGGAATGTGTAACAAAGTCGGTAAAATGACTTAATGAGCAAAACTTACATTCAGACGCTGGAGGGAGGTCTGCGATTTGCTCGTTGAACCTTTTTAGCAATAGCGCTCGTGTAAACAGCGTAAAGAGTTGATCACAGTAACATGTTCATAGTTCAAAGGTACATTTCGGAGACTCAAAAGATAGCTAGCTAACTTGGAGTAACACTCCACACCTCAGGGGCGGGGGATGCTAGTGTGTCACCCGACAAGAACCCTGGTCGTTTTTATCCCTGTTATTGGCTGCCTCTGTTGAGCAGATTAAGCAAAGCAGAAGCTGACATTTTAACTAGCTCTCTTTTTAGCTAGCCAAAGAGGCTTTATGGCTTGCAAGAAAGTTAGCACGTCTTCCTACAACTGGTGTCTGAAACCTTTTGGTTTTGAGCTCTCCATGCAAACAAACTGAAGAGTTTTCCCCCATTTAAAGGAGCTTGAGAAGGCGTGAGATTTTTCAACAACAAAGGCGATGGTGAAAAAAGGGGCGGGGCTTAAGTAAAAACAGTATAATTGACCAAACTTGGCTTAAGACTGACAGTTCAATCATCACCCAAGCAGTGTAGACATCACATTCAGTGGTGACAATGACCCGGTTTCGCTTTGGTAGCATTTAGACGCAAATAATACCAACAAAAAATGTAACATTTCTATTTCTACACACAGACCATTTCATTGGGAACACCAGCATAATTTAATCAAATCCAGCCAAGGTGTTTTGATTGGCACTTGGGCAACCATTTTGAAGTAATTGAGGCTTGGAATCTAAAACAGTGGAAAGAACCCCATGAAGAAATGTAACAGTTTGTCATTGTACATCAATGGGAAAAACCACCGTTTAACTGCGACCATTCATTTTGGTGAAGGTGGTGTTCCAAATCACATGACCTCTGAGTGCATACAACAAAACACACTGGCCACTGAAAAGCACCGATCCATTTTTCAATCTCAAACATTAAGAAAAATCATTTTAAACATTTGGGTTTCTGAAAGAAAATTAATGCAAAGACTCGAGCCTCCAACAGTTTGGCTCACCCCGCCCCCACCCCTGTTTTTTTGGAGGAACAGGTACGAGAAGACATTTTCAAACACGTGCTAGTCACATCTGTATCAAGTTGGGACCATTTATGACAGTTCCGCCTTGACATCATACAGGCTCACTGACAAAAGGATGAACACCACACATGAGTGAAAATCACCAAATGGACATTCGTGTTTTTCATTGGACGGCAACAGAAGGCTGAGCGGACGAGCTGCATCGTAGTCACAACAACAACATGGCACAAAGAACGCCATAGCCCTTTTCTGTAAAAACATTCAACATGACTCGCTGCGCAGACAAAGAAGATGTCTAAACATTCATTCATTTGATGATGCGGTGAAGGTCCATGTACTGGTTGAGACAAACGTGCGCTGAATTGTCTTACAGGTGAGGACAGAGACCAAAGTCAGAACTGGAACTCAAGCTGCTTTCCAAATATTGAAAGTGCAAAAATGAATTCTTAAAACACCAAAATCGTACAGTAAATTGGTTTGAAGAACTCGTAGTGACGGAGAAGGGTTGCAGAATTCTGTGAATTTTCCACATTGGAAACTTTCTGTGGGTGGAGCAGAAATGTACACGTTATTTCTCCTGCTGTGATTTTTGAGTACTGTATACTAGTACATGGACCTGAAGAAGGAATGCCACGTGAGCATTTATTTGATATCAATCCCTGTGTCTAAATCTGGTCAATTTCATATCCCCCACCCCCGACATCCTACATGGATATCAAGGATACTGAATAAATGCACAAATGGCCTAAAGCACAAAATGGACACTTTGGAGAGAAAAACAAAAGCGCACAGAAGCATACAGTAATTTGACGTTTTTGAATAAATAACAGTGACCTTGAGGGAAGCTGGTGAGCGATGTTTATAAATGGTCCGTCACACAACCTGCAGCGCCCTCTCGTGGCCGTCCAGCTGCACCTTGATCTTGTGTAGCTCCTCGATCTCCTGGTGGTGGCGCTCCGTCTTGTGGCGCACCAGCGAGCGGTAGAAGTGGACGGTGAACACCACGAAAATGACCCCCACGGGCACCATGATGATGGTGGACGCCAGCGCCGCCAGCCAGCCGCTGTCTTGCGCAACGGGCGCCGTTGTCGTCGCGGCGGCACCTCCCGAGTCCACGGGCAGGAACTTGATCCAGCAGAGTAGCACCACCTCGGCCAAGAAGAGCAGAATGCCCAGCGCGGTGGAGAAGCCCCACGCCAGCTCGATGTAGTAGTGCATGCGCTCGTGCGGCGACTCGCTGACCGAGTTGAGGTTGTGGATGTTGCTGACCGCCTCCACGTTGGGCAGGATGCACGTGCTGATGAGCAGCGCGAACAGGTGCACGGCCACGAGCACCGTGGTGCACACGCTGAACGCCACCAGCAGCACGCGCGGGTAACTGTACTGCATCTCCAGCTGCACTTCCACCATGGCCACCTTGCGCCGCAACACACGCACACTTTCATTGTGGGCGTGCAACAAAATGTAGCTCAATGACAACCAGTGATGCACAACACCGTAGCACAGCATCAGCGTCACGGCATTAATGAGATATGTGAAATAAAATTGAAGGAGACTGACCATTGCGAAGCCAGAAAGCAGCGCAGAGGTCCTGCTGGAGGCCTTGAGCTTGGCCCTGCTCAGGTAGAGCTTCCTCCAGGAGAGGGCCTGCACCGAATGGTGGTTGGAGCTAACCAGCTCCAGGTAGCTGCGCCGCACCCAGTCCCGGTAGTCCATGCCGCTGCCGCCGCTGCCGCCATCCGGAGCCCGCTCTGACATACCCGGGGCCGGCGAGCCCGTGGGCACGTTGAGCTCTCTGCTCATACTGCCTGATTGGGAAATTGTCGATACAACAGAATCACATTTGAGTTTCACTGGGGACGGGGCTGCATTCAGAACTATCCCATTACAATCATACGAGTCGGCACACGCCTCAAACCAATTTAAGACTCAATAAAGTTCAGCTGTTCTGGTCGTGCTTCCCTGAATGTCCAAAGACTTTTGAGGTTTACACTTTCGTTCTACTACCGAGAGGTTCCACTGTAAAAATCAGATCAATGGCACAGTTTCAAGGTTACAAATATGGAGCAATTAACTACTTTCATTCTCAAATATTTTTATACCAACCTAAAAACCCCAAATATATACTCAGCTCATTACATCATATTAAAATGTAGTCACATAGTAGTAGCCGCGAGTGTTGATTAAAAACAAGACCGAGACTTTATTCCTCAAAAGTCTAACATTAGTAAGCCACGTTAACATTCAGCACAACTTGAATATTAACACTGCGCTTAGACGTAGGGGGAAAAAAACTAGGTAAAGGACTCATTTAAAATTATGAGGAAATAAGTCAAACCATTCTCAAAGCTTTTGTGAAAATGTATTTAACTTAAGAGTTAAGTATAACAGAACTTAAACCAATTATTATTTAGCGCCTGCCAAGAAGTATTTTCCATACAAATATTAACTGTAACTATTACGTCAGAAATTCGGGTTACACAACTGCCGGAAGAAGCGAACCCCGTCGTAGCCCGAGGATCTCCTGAATTTGTTTTTCAACTCATTCAAATGGGGGAAAAAAAACTGTTATCAACACACGCCACATTTGCAAAAATGTGTCAAATAAAATAAACTATCTATTATAACGGCATGCAAACTAGCTCAGCTAACCTTAAAGTCAAAGTTAAAAAAAAAATACACATACCCCTCCCCCCCCCACACACACACACACACACACACACACACACACACACACACAACGTCAAGAACGCTAACCACCGAACATCTTCCGCGTTCTATAGAGTTGAGTGGAATAAATACGATTGATTGGTCATTTTATGAAATCACTAACAGTCCGTAGGAATTAACACGATGTGCTTGTTGAATGTTAAATAGTCGTCCTCGCCGAAAAATGTCCCAGTTGTGGAGGTTTTAAGCCTTTCCGTACACTTGTCAGCAGCCCGGCGGATATTGACAACTCTGCCAAGTCAAAAGTGGGATCCGCTTACAGACTTTTGCTAACGTCTGCCTTTTTTTTAAACTAATACGTATTGTTAACATGGTCAGACACGTTTCGAAGAAAAAAACGATGAGCATTTTAAGATTCTCGGCCGGGTTTTGGCTTCAAAAACAATCACAACTCGAAACATTCTCGAAGACTTTTTGCTAGCTAGCAAAGTTAGATAGCTAGCGTGATTCTCATCGAATTTCCACGAGTGTTAGATGGTAAAATGTGAACTTATTGGACTCACCTGGGCGTCAAGGTGGTATTACGGTGAGCAGCACAGCAGGAAAACAAGAGTGGCTTCCACGGCGTACACGCACAAACACTCCTCTGTGTGTAAACGTAAGAAGCGGTAACAGCTTCCGGGTTTCATTTACGAGTTGCTTTACGATTTCCGTACTTCCGCCACGACTAGCAGTTCGAGTGGAGTCATTGTCGTGTCTTATTTGATTTTGAGCTGGGAAAATGTTGTATGTAGGTCCATTTTTTCCAAATTACTCACGTAAAGACTACAATTACTCCATTTGTACAACGGGTTTGGTTCAGCCTTCATCGTAGCGTAGTCGAAGCGAGATTTCCGACTGGTCCGACTTTCAAAATAAAAGCACATGCTCCGGTAATTAGTTTTTTTGACCATGGGGAGGGAACTCCGGCTCCTCGAGAGCCATATCCTGCCTGTTTTAGAGCCCTCCCTACTCCAACTCACCTGATTCAAACGATCAGCTCACCAGCAAGCTCTGTAGAAGCCTGAAACAATCATAATCAATTGAATCACGTGTGGTGGAATAGGGAGAAATCTAAAACAGGCAGGATATGGCTGTTGAGAAACCGGAGTTTGCTACCCCTGTTTTAGACTAAAAAGATCAAACTACTGTTTTTCTATGGGAGTGATTTATGTTTTTAGCATAGAAATGTTTTTCATTCAAATGTTTAACAATAACTCAGCCAAGGAGAACAGCGGGCCAACTCAGTTTTGCTGGGGATTTGGACTTGGATCACATTGTAAATTCATATTGGATCATATCCTTGCACTTTAATCCAGACTGAGCTGTCAACATCTTAGGTTTCGGTCAAAGGTTGGAATCTCATCAGTATCATCTCGACTGCCTGTATATGGGAATGCTGTCCAGCCCTTGACTGCTTAGCTCGTAACTGTTGCAGCACTGCATCGACTGTAATGCTGCCATCTGTTATTTATGAAAATTCTCTATTTATGGCTTTGGATGTTTTTGTGAGAGATGCCTCCCAAAATCCCCCGTCTGTATTGCTCCAATGATGGACTGCATGTTGGACAGCTGCCACTGGCAAGTATGTACTGAAAAAAACGGTTAAAAAAAAGAAATTAAACTCATGACATATCAGCATGTAAACGAGCACAGAAACTTCAGGCTTCTACTGGATGGCAATAATAAATAAAGAGATAATTAAATGTTCAGAAAAACAGACTGCAAAGCGCTGGAGATTTTGGGGGTTAATAAGAGGTACTGCAAATGGTGGCAGTTGTATACAAACTCACATTTAACAGGTTCAAATGTGATTCTGAACAGCCACATCCCCAATTGCGAGAGGGTGTGCACACACACACACATGTGCAACCACATTATCCCAGTTATTTTTTTACATCCCCTTTCGAGGAAAAAAAAAAACCCAACCCAAAAATAAAACTCTTCCTCTTCATTTGTGTCCAACAGGTTATAGGTCACATTGAGAGCAGACAAAGTTTTGAAATTATTTTTCGTGGTCTTTTTTTATTTGACCCAAAAGCCTGGTATTTGAACAGGGGTGTGTAGACTTTTTCGATCCACTGTATGTAAAGAGCTGGTGTGAAATAATTTGCAAAGCAGAGAACACAAAATTTCAAACATTGAGATTGAGCCAAGAGGCAACGGTGGTATCGGTGGCATATGAAATGCACTTCAAAATCTCATTTGACAAATTGACATACCCCAAATGGTGAAGCTTTCATGTCATCGACGTGCCCCCAACAGATTTAGCTTTTTACATCCAGTGACAAGGGTCACTGTTTGCCCCATAAGGATCGATGTAAACCTCAAAAGGTTAAATAAATGGGCCTCTTACTAATTACTCTATTGCACTTTCCTCTAATCACATCTCACAGTAGCTCTGTTGACTTTCGGAATTTCAACTACATAATGTGACTTACCAAAGTCTGTTACAAAGTAAAAATACAAAATACATATTTAGAAAAACAAATGCAGGTCAGCAATATTTGTCCGAGTACAAATGTGTTGCTGTCGTGCGCCCATGTAATCGCACTCACGTGTCACTTCCCGTAGTTCTGAAAAGGAACAGCTTATGCTTAACCGCATTTCCTGCATCGATTAATCAGGAAAATTAACAAGTGATTCAGTGCCTCAAGACATGATGAATCAACAATCAATTTTTTTAGACAATCAATCAAGTCTTCATTATCCACCCAGCCCGTGCGCTTTTTCATGCCAAAATGGCTGCTCGCTAAGTTTAACTGCCTAATGCTTACACGGCTAGCGACACATTTTACAGGAAATGACACACAAGTCTCAACCCGGCCGGCAGTCTGTCGGCCATGTTGCGAGGATTAAAAGTCAATTTAGTGACGTTACTTGACGGCGACCACGGTGGTGTTGTGGATGGACTCCATGACGGCGGCCAGGCGGCTGCATAGGTCGTGGGCCTGGTTCACGTGGACCTTGGGGGGGTCTTTGAGGACCACCGTCTCGGCCGAACAGTCCAGGACACGTGGCAGGAATTCGCCCAGTTTCATCTGCAGCGAGTCTGCACAGGAAAAGGAGAGGGCTGGTAACACTGCAGATTTATTTGGGAAGATAAAGAAAGGTACCCATGGACCGGTAATGAAAAATGATGGTGTGCCGAGAAAAGATTGAAAATAATTTCATCATAGGGACATATTCAACCAAGGGTTGTCCTCTAATTAACATCACGGGTGTCCTCAAACTCAGTAAGTCGGCCTCTTTGAAGGGTGACAAGTAGTCCTGGTGCTGTTTGGTGTACCATACTAAATAATGGACCAGAGGAAGCAAAGGAGAGAGTTGTCTCAGGCGATTCAAAGAAAATGACAGACAGGGATGTGAAAGGTAAAGGCTATCAGACCATCTCCAAACAGCATGATGTTCTTGCGATTGCAGTTGCACACAATATTCCAAAATGAAAGATCCACGAGACTGTAGCCAACCTCCCGAAATATGCCCGCAGAAGGAAAACCTCAGATCACAACCTGAAGAATATTCCGGCTAGTTTAGAGCGAGGAACGCAATGTACCCACGCGGTTAACTGACCAGATAAAAGCACCTGTTGCTGACTCTGCTGCTTACACATCTCACGCAGCAAATGATGACAAAAACAACGGTTAACAGCGGTGAGAACGAAGATAACTTCCCACACCCGTCGGCGTTTTTACAGGAATGCTTTTTGTATCCCTGACTGTTGCTATGTGCGTCCTATACTTAAAAAAAAAAAAACAAAACTGCTTAGACATTGGTACCGTCCATGTCCTGTCCCAGACAGCAGCACCACTGACTGCGGATGCTCTCCATGGTGTCGCGGTCCTCCTGCGATGGCGGCGTCTCCCTGCTCATCAGATGCAGGCAAGGGATGACCACTTCGTCCATGATGGCCACACCCTCCTCCACCTTGTTCTCGTCGCCGCTGGCGAAGAGCCGTGTTGCGCTTTCGTTCAGGGTCTGCGGGGAGGAACGGCGCCGCAGGGAGGTTATGTGTACAGAGAGAACCTCTATCAGATACTGTCATCAACTTGCTGTCTCCATGTAGTCACTTGATTTTGAGTATTGGCTAAAACGGAGTCCAACCAGATACCTCAGCAGTATATTAAAAAGAAACAGATATTCCACAATGCGCACAAATGCTCTTGAAAATAGATAAGTGGAAAGTCATTTTGAAAGGAGCAACCTCGAATGCAGCGTCACTCACCGTGAGACACTTTCTTCGGTAAAGTGCAATTAAAGATGTGTCCACGCCGCGTTTTTCTCCGCTATTCAATAGGGCGGCGTTGGCGTCGTAGGCGTGAGCAAGGTAGGTCAGAGCCTCCCGCATCCTGGGATGCAAAAATAGATAGATAAATAAAAACAATGACACACACACTGCGAAAAATACCATGCCAATGATGCGGGAACACTTACTTGCCGTGCTGGTAGTGTTCCAGTCCGGTCAGCAGGTAGACGAAGACGGTCCGGAACGTTCTGTAGTCGTCGTGCCACTGCTGTGGAATGTCACAAGACAAATGATTATGATGTATTCACCGAATACAATTAAGACTGGTGTTCAAGTTTTAAACGGGAGAACAGAGTTGCACCCCCCTGTCTTAATTCCATTGAGACGAAATTACGATAAGAAGTTACTTCTTGAAATTCGACCCATGTGGACACACTCAAATGAGTCAGATAAACAATCGAAAAAATAAAATCAAATCACAACTGTAAATAAGAACAAGCGTGCTGTATTAAATTCACACCTGGGAAAAATAAAGCCCCCGCAAAGAGGAAAGAAACTGCTAGTGCAATAGGCTACATCAAGTACCAGGTACTCATCCATGTCCATGTCTTCTGGCTTGATGAGGCGCAGCTTGGCTCGGGCTTCCCGCATGATACTGATGGCTCTGCAAGAACAATGGAGGCAGATCTGCTTTTTACATTACGTTTTTTTCCCCCCAAATGACTACATGAACTTCAAACTAAACCACAACATTGGATACGTATCCGCAAATGAGAGAGATGGAAAAATGCTACAGGAGATACAGGAGCCAAGTTTTGCTAGTTGTAATTTGGACATTAGAGGGCAGTATTCACACACATTTTGTATTGAGTTCAGGTGGTGAAAGCTAAAAGTGAATGTTTTTACTTGATACTTGTGGCAACAGCTGATGTTACTTAAATGGAATAAAAAAAAAAAATAGAAAAAAATATAAACTAAGTCTATGTGGGCATAAATGACCAGCAAACAAGCCCAAATGCTCGTCCAATCGAACGAGGCCAGGGGGTCAAAACGTGCGTGTCAAGAAGCTCTCGTGTCACCTCTCATCGAAGCTGAGGTTGCGATCAGTGAACTGCTCGAGCAGCGTCCTCTCGATGACGCGTTTGGGCGCTTTGTTCTGGAAGAAGTAAACCAGAGCGTGCTGCAGGCGCGCGTCTTCCCGCGGCGTGGTCTCCTCCTGGGAGAGCTCGTACAAACGGGAGTACTCCTCGTGGAAGGCCTGGCGGAGGCATTTTCGATTTGAAATCCAGTCCGAAAAGATACGTTCCAAACATCTTCAAGGAGCAAAAGGCCAACCTTGATGAGTCCAGCCTCAGGGCCCTCGGCGTCGAATGCTCGTCTGGCCTTTGCGATGGCGAGAATGATGCCCTGCATGGCTGGGGTCAACATCATCTGTCAGATGATGAGACATAAAACAAAAATAATAATAAGAAGAAATTCAACGTCAGAAAGTACTTGTCAAGCCTTCACAACAATGCTCAACAACGAAAAAGTGTATCTTGCGTTTTTTTGGACATTTGGTTTAATTTCTCAGCGTGAACTCAGATTTGTTATCCATTTTGAGGGTCGGG